CCGACCGCTTGAGAATCTTGCTCAGCCGGTACTATCGGAGCATCCATTAAGTCGTCGTCGTTGGCGGATTGATCAGCTTTGAGTTCACCAAAATCCAAGATAATACCGAGCTCCTCGTCAGTTTGACAATTTTGTATTTCTCGGTAGATATCCATATTTGACGACGTTCAGCTTACACAATGTTGCGCAGTACGGGCTGTAGCTCTATGATGTCTTTATGCCATTTCTGTACAATTCATAAATGACCGAATGATCGGTAGTCCGACAGTTTCGTAGACTTTTTTACACGTACGAAACGCAGAGGTTAACAATAATTAGTGACGATATCCCTAAACAGTGATGTAGTGCCTTGATGCTGGGCCTTGGCCTTAAGGCTGCCTTAAGGCTGGATTTTAGGGCCTTGGCCTTGGCCTCGAGGCTTGAGGGCAAAAGCCTTGGCCTTGGCCTTGGCCTTGAGGGATCAGTGCCTTGCAATTTTGAGTCAAGGCTTTTCAAGGCCCATAGATTTTTGCATTTTCCAGATAAATCTGTTTGAAATTTTGCTGTGACCATTTTAACCGTGTTACCATGGAGGAGGCAAACACCCTATAGATTTGTGTGTTAGGCACACTTCCACTTTTATAGCATCACATTTTGTTACCATTGTAGTAGATTTGCTGCAACAATATTCTGTACACTTGTGGGGCTAATGAGATGATCACTTAAATTGTATACAATTATGGAATGGATCTGATTGGTTGTATATGTCTCCCTGATAAGTGCTAAAGATTTGCATGTATCTGTTTTAGATAATGCTAATATTTCTGACCATGTTGGCCCAGCAAATAAAAATTTCCCAAATCAGTTTCTTGGATCCCCCTTTTGTTACACTCTGGAGAATTGTGCGTCAATATATCGTTATTTTGTTTTAGTTAAACCATTTTCATGAAGACCTGAACTTATACTATAATAGATACAATGCAGTCATAAAACAGTGTATGCGAGCATGTTGATTGCAATTAAACACAAGTTGTTCTTCTTAATGAGCGATTCGTGATGATGTGTCATGTGACTATAATTAGTTCTATATTAGTGGTCATTTTATAAAACAGGGCCTTGGCCTTGGCCTTAGCCTTGAGGGTTAAGCCTTGGCCTTGGCCTCAACACTTGAGGGTCAAAGCCTTGGCCTTGGCCTTGGCCTTGGCTTTGAGGGTCAAAGCCTTGGCCTTGGCCTTGAGGGTCAAAGCCTTTGCTCCAACACTGTCCCTAAATATAGCTCGTGACAACATCTCTAAACTACATTGATACTTATTATGCCTCATATCACGGACCCCTTATTATCGATTGCTTCCAAACCGCACGGAGTGGTCAATAAACACTTCAGGCCATCTGTGCCAATTAAGTCTATTGTCCGAGGGATTATCCACTTACTGACCTCACGCGAGCGCACGGGCGCCACTTACAGTCCATTGTCCAAGGATTACCTACTGCCGGCCACACATATGGTCGTGTTCACTACCGTTCCCTCTGCGCCAGCAAATGAAGTTCGTAATAAAGGTCAAACGGTGCCAGAAATTTTTATATTTTTTCCATACATCATACAACCAAAGTACTGCACTAAGGGACAAACAAAACACTACGTGAGACAGACAAGACAAGTGTGGGAGACAAGGCCTAAATATTAATACACAAAATAATAACATTTCAATTCATGGGTAATGATTTAAGAGAATCATTTCAACTATTCCAGTTGCCTCTTAAGGTGCCTCGATGAATAACACAATTTTTTACGTTGACGTTCTGTTAAATTGAACGAACACATATCCCCTAGCACTACTTCGAGTGTTATATACATAAATGTTAGATGCTACGATAAAACAAGTATTAAAACAGGACGGGAGTAAATTATGCATAAATTTATACATTAATTGTCCTAAAATATAGTAATATAAGGTATTACATCGTAATATATTTAATTTTAGCAAATAATGGATCAGAATGATCACGATAACCAGCATTTAAAATTACACGAACTGCTCGTTTCTGTAAAGTAAGTAATTTTGTTACACTTAGATGGCAAACTACCCCAAGTCAATATTGAGTAATTTAAGTAAGTTTCTGTTTTAGCCTCTGAAGAAGAACTTGCTAAGTTCGCAACGTCAGGCCACATTAATTTTTAGATTTATATATTTCAGGTCCATCCAGTCAGTAAGCAGTTTGCAGCAGTCTTACTTTTTTTCATGTTTCAACTTCTCTGTTGCAGTATCCCTTCGTGGTGATCCTCCTTGCTGATATGTAAGTTTCATTGTGTTTTGTTTTGTTCCTTCTTTTGTCATTTCTGTTTTAGCCTCTGAAGAAGAACTTGCTAAGTTCGCAACGTCAGGCCACATTAATTTTTAGATTTATATATTTCAGGTCCATCCAGTCAGTAAGCAGTTTGCAGCAGTCTTACTTTTTTTCATGTTTCAACTTCTCTGTTGCAGTATCCCTTCGTGGTGATCTTCCTTGCTGATATGTAAGTTTCATTGTGTTTTGTTTTGTTCCTTCTTTTGTCATTTCTGTTTTAGCCTCTGAAGAAGAACTTGCTAAGTTCGCAACGTCAGGCCACATTAATTTTTAATTTAAGTAAGGTAAAACAAATGAATTATACAATGTTAATAAAATCTTACGGAAAGATAATATTTCAAACGATTCTTTATTCCAATGTTCTTTGATATTTTGGCCGCTAGTTCATCAATAGTTACACCCAGGAAGTTAGTTATCTTAACCTGACTAAGCCTTGAGTTATTCAAAATGAAAGGAACAGATTGTGTGTATATTTGTACTGATTGGCACAAAAATCATATAATTTGACATGGCGACATTAATACATAATTTATTTGCGAGACGTATGTACTGATCTCTTCAAGTTCCATATTAAGGTTAATAATTGCTTCATCTACAATATCGTGAGTATATAACAAACTTCATCAAATAAACAAAATGTTATATGGTGTCTGAGGTACTACATATATCATAAATATAAAGAAGAAATAGTAAGGTACTCAACATGGAACCCTGAGGTACCCCGCACGTAATGAATCGGCTAGTTGAAGTAACAGAGTGAAATGACACATACTGCTTTCTGTTACACAAATAACTTTTCAGTAGGTCCAAAGCTGTTCCCCGCACTCCGTAAATTCAAGTGACACACAGCATTTGATAATAGCGCTGTAGTAACTTGACATGAAAATATCTGAAAGTTTCTATCTTAAGATATAGCGTTTTGAAGTAATTAGATATCACAGTTTCTCGTTGGTGTCGTCGGTGATGTTATCTTCGTATATGCTTTCCTCAAGGTCGGTGATGATGATATAGTCCTTAAAAAAATGAAATAACATTATGTTACGTGAGTTACATTTATGTGTTGAAAACTATGGCAAAAGACATTTTATATGCACTGAATGATTTAATTCTGCAGGTTTTATAATGATGCAGTACGTTGGTTCTGGTGTATTTCTTGTTTACCAAAAACTCGTGTATGTTACTCCTCGCTTCTAATAACCTGTCCCGGATCCAACGCAGCATGAATATCTAGCTAGCAGTCTGCTGCTCTGTGATTTTCAATCTCATTCAAGGGATACATGTATTCTCATCGTCATTTAATGTTTACGGAGAAAGACCTTTTGGCGCGCCGCAGGGTTGGGATAGTGCTGCACCAATTATTCCTGCTAACATTAAAATATTGGTCCCTCCTCTTTAGCTATGTTATATCGACCAAGTCCTGTGATAGCTAATAGAAAACTCCAATTTTCTGATAGCTGATCGTGTGTCACTTACTGCATCTTCAGACACCATGTCGTCCAATTGCTGATACAGACTCTGAAAGCTGGGTCGGTCTTTGGGACTCTTCTGCCAACAGCTGCACATCATGTCATACCTGAAACAAACAACAACCACTTTTTAAATCTCCATGTCTACTTTGAAATTTCCTATCTTCAAAGGGTAATGGCATTAAAATTGAAGTATTCCGAGAGTTCCGCATAAACCGACAATACTTACAGCTGCTTCTTGCATTGTCGAGGCTTCGGCATACGATAGCCCTGTTGTAATTGGCTAATCATTGTCTTTGCTCTCAACAGCGGATACGGCCGCGCACCTGTCGGAAATAGAGGTGTATTTAAACATTTGACTGTAGAGACTCGCCACGGTATACAATTTCAGCCAACATGGTCAAAAATCTTTATTGTGACAATGTTTTAAAAAAATCGTTCGGAACATGCACACATTCTGCAAACACCTTTAATCGCGGACCTTCTATTTAACCCCTTTTGTTTATAATCGAGCATTTTAGGACGATACCCGTTATGTATTGTATACGCACATCAAAAGTGGACCTATTGTCCTCTATTGTTCAAGGTGCACAATTTGAATTTTCATGTATGTATATATATATATCAAGTATCAAGAATGCGACTGACTTAGTGAGTCACGTACACCTCTGAGCTCAATCACAATACAAATATTCACGTTCCAGATCCCTAAGCTCATCTTATCCATGCAAGTCACACAGCAATCTCATCCTTGCCAATCACATTCTTGTCTTGGAAAATGCCTGCTGGTCGCAAAACTAAGTCTACGATGTCGCCAAATTATCCACCTCTTTTACTGCCTAGCTCCCCATCTTTGTTTTATTCAGCTTCATTACATTATGACTTTACTGCGTTTGATTCGTCTGTCTTTCGTTTGCGTGTCTGACTGTTTCTTTTGGGTTTTTTTATGTTTCGTTTACGTTGAACAATTTGTTCAGGCTGTTCCACCTACAAACCTTGGCTGAAGTGAACAGGTATATGCTCCTTAATTATTAACCTTGATTTAACAAATTAGTTGTTAAGTATTATTTTATAATTGCCTTCATAATTTGTCCTTACTTTAATATTACTGTAGTGTACTTTATGTCATCTGACTTTGTTTGTTTTTTCAGAGAGTGCAAAATACATGTCTAATAAATTGATAAAATTAAATTAGAATTAAATACGAATTTATGTTACAGTCTTGTACTTACCAAGTGTCACAATCTCCCACAGCAGGATCCCGAAAGACCATACATCACTCTTTGTTGTGTACACGTCATCAAAAATGGATTCCAACGCCATCCAACGCATTGGAAGAGGACCCTGCGGACAGGTAAGTCTATTGTGAATGTTTTCAATTTTCAAGTTCTATGTTGGAACTGTTTTAAGCTAAAACTGTGATCTCGCAATGCTGTCGTTTGACAATTGTGCGGCTCGTATCAAATAGATGTATACAGTGTGCAAGTTTGATGATGTCTCGTTTGGACGGATCTATATAGATATTGCTGAACCTGTATTCATATGGTACCTGTGATTCTCGATGGTAGATGCGGGTGTTCATAACGTCACGGGCCAGTCCAAAATCAGACACTTTGCACACCATATCTTCTCCCACCAGCACGTTACGAGCGGCAAGGTCACGATGCACATACTGAAAAAAATAATAATGCAACGGAAAATCTAAATAAATCCACTCATTATACCAACAAGCAGCTTGGTGTAAAACAAACTAAGAAGCAAATGCAGAAAGTAAGATTGTCTCTGATCTCAAAAAGATCATTCTTGATGGTCTTGTGTCATCTTACTTTCTATCTCATTGAGTGACTGACAATGTTTTGTTACTTATGTTACCCATCTCACCGACTTTGGTGGAATTTACTCCCAGTAACGAGCACAGGAACGCTTGGCCTTTTACCCTGACAAGCTGTTACAACCGATAATGTAACAACAATTGACTGATACTGTTTCACTAGTAACCGATAATGTAACAAAAATTGACCGACAGTGTAAATGTTACTACACTATCAGTACATTTTTGTTACATTATCGGTTAGGACTGATAATGTCACAACAATGGACTGTTAATTAGAATAGCACTTTCTACTACATTATTAGTCATTTTTTTGTAACTTTATTGGTTAGTGATCCAGTATCGGTCAATTGTTGTTACATTATCGGTTGGTTATTACATTATCAGTTGTAACGCAGCCCACCACCTGAATTTTGTGGTAGATGAAATACTTGACCTAATATACAAGCTTTCCAAACTTATAACTAATCGTGCCCGACGAAGAACCCATTGGTCATAGACGGATAGGATGTTGCTCCTCTATGCCTCTTAGAATAAACGCAGTTGCCAACACCGAAATTTGGATGCACCCAAGATCAGCATAATTAACGAGTGCACCGGTTCTATAAGCGTAGTAGAGAAAAAATAGATCGATTCACATAATGTGCCGCCCAGTATAGTAGTGACTTCTGATTTGACTATCACATCCGTGATTGGTGTGGCATTGGATTTCACGTGCGCAGTGACCGTGGCATACTGATAATCGATATTTCAATGACCATGTGTACCAATAATCGATATATTGATTTGTTTTACCTTTAGTGAGGATATATAAGCCATTCCATTTGCCACATCCCATGCAAACTTGACCAATGTCCTAGACAGTGATTTGCTCAAGCCAGGTAGGTTGGAGTAACCTGTCCCTGGGTCCTTGTCTCGATACTCCATCAGAACACTCTTCAGGTCACCCTTAGCAAGGTACTCAACGATCACGTACACGGGATCTAGAATAAATCACATAAGTGGCTCAAGTCGGTCACAACTCATTTTGTGTAGGTGGCTGTACTCTTTATCTCTTCCAAATCACCAGCCCAGGGTCACAAGACTTATTGGTAATCCCTCCAATACTCGGAAAAGGGAACACCCAAATGGAAACTGGAGGTGAAAATGTCAGCCTGTAATGATCTTCTGCCACAGATTTAGTCAGAATGGAATCGGACTTTTCGGTGAAATTTTTCATATACCTTTTTCTATACAATATCCCAGCAGCTTGACCACGTTTGGATGAGAGCCAACTGTGTTCATCACCTGCAACTCGGCCACAAGCTCTTTCTTGGCGTGTCTGTCGGCGCCCTCTGTATATAAATCGATTAGACAGTTATTAAAAGCCTAGAAACGAGAAGTTTCCAGATCGCCGCTTCATCACATGAAAGCCTTGAATGTCCCAACCACTTGAAGCCTTGGCCTCACGTCACATGAATCCTTTCGTCGAGAAGGGGCCTATTTTGGGTCGATTTACCAATGACAGGGACCAAGGGGCCAAAGCCAAACACAATCAAAGGTCTGGAAGATCCAGTGGAAAGACACAGCCTACTCATGCTACCGGGTTATACCGGTTCATACCATAGACTAGCAGTATGTCAATGAAGACAAGACACTCTTTGCGATAATCCACATTGTTGGTTATAAAATATATGCAGTGGCGTAGCCAGGAATTTTTCAGTGGGGGGGGGGGGCGCTGGGGGGCTGGAACATTTCATGGGGGGCGTCATGTAGGGGCGTCAATCGCTTCTCAAAAGTGGGGGGGGGCGAAGCGCGAAGCCCTTACGGCGTGGGGGTTCGGGGCCCGAACAAAAATGGATTCTAGATGTTCTGTGGTGTGATCTGAAGCAATTTCTTACCACTTTCCTCCATGCTTTAACTAATATTTTCTTAGCAAAAGATAATTATTTGAACATCGTTTTCGAGGTTGAAGTCATTGAATCAGCTATCGGTATTCTGAGCTATAGGCGTGGGGTTCGAGGCCCGCTTAAGGGCCCCGAAAAAAAATGGATTCTCGATGCTCTGTGGTGTGATCTGAGGCAATTTCTTACCACTTTAACCAATAATTATCTTAGCACAAAAAAAATAATTTAAACATAATTTTCGAGGTTTTCTCAGCTAAAGGTATACGAAAATTTTGTGAACATTGTTTTTGAGGTTGGAGCCATTGAATCAGCTACCAGAATTCTGAGCTATAGGCGTGGGGTTCGGGGCCCTCTTAAGGGCCTCCAAAAATTTGGATTCTAAATGCTCTGTGGTGCTATCTGAGGCAATTTCTGACCACTTTAACCAATATTTTCTAAGCAAAAGATACATTGTAGTACATAATAGGGCCCTGTAAATGAGACACGAGTTCAAAAATCTGGGGGGGGACATTTGATATTGTGTCCCCCACCCTTCAAAAAGTGGGGGGGACCAATCCCCCTGTCCCCCCAGGATTGACGCCCATGGCGTCATGTAGATCAATGATAATTCGCCCCCCCCCCCCTGGCTACGCCACTGATTTCAAGGATTTTTAATTGGTCTATTATTATTATTTAGCTTATATGAATGGAGGAAAAAGTTTGTGCGTGGCCGATTCGCGTGATATCGCTGACTGAAACTGTGTGACCCACGGACCACCTGTCTATAATACGTGTTCCGTGGTGTGAGCGAGCAGTGCAGTGGGTGTTAATACGCATTTTAGATTATCATTATGCGCGATGTCACGCCGGTTGTCAGCTTACTGGTCCGCGGTCGCCGGTCGAAGGGTCGTTTCTCAGTGGTCATCATGTGGATTATTCGCGACTATTTAGATTTAGATCAATGATAATTTTTTTAGAAACTCAAAATCTCAGTGGGGTGGGGCGACTGGGGGGCGACAAGGTTTCATGGGGGCGGTCGCCCCCCCCCACCCCCCCCCCCCCCCTGGCTACGCCACTGAATATATGCAACGATCGACTTTTAGTGCACTTGTTTTTTAAGCTTTCGAGCTCCACCATGAACACTCAAACACGTGTCTTTCACAAGAAACTGTCCCTCTGGACTAGTTGGAAAGAGCTGTAGGCAGCATGTAAGTTAGAAGGGCGGAAGGTGCTTACAAATAGGGAAAGCAATACAGATACCATTTAAATTTAAGCGACAAAAAGCAAATTTGATCAAGTAAAGACCAATAGGTGTTTAATCAATATGTTGCTGTGATTGTCATCAAGACAAATCACTTTACAGTATGCATCCAAAAAATCTCTCCAATGCACAAAGCCCCGATTTGTTGAATGACATTACTATAAATGACAACAAACCTTTCACGGTTTTAACGGCAACCTTCGTTTCTTTTCCGACTTCCTCGATCCCAAGTGCCTTTCCCAAAAGCACTCTGCCGAACTGCCCTCGTCCCAGCTCATTCTCGATCACCAGAAGATCTCGTGAGAAAGAGAGTTCCTTTCCTACATTGCCGTACTCCACGTCGTTTGATGCCTCCGGCTCAACGCTGTCTTCATTGGGAACACTCTCGCGTACCTCCGCTGTGGCAATTTTGTGCAGTGGAATGTCTGAAACACATTTTTAGATTTACTCAATTTTAAAATTGAATTTGAGACATACATCTGGCAAGTACAACTTGAAAATGCTCATCTAGTGCAGTGCAGAACATACTAACAATAATTCGATGTTATTATCCCATACACATGTTTACCATCCAAAGTCGCTGTCGGATTCGAGCCGGACCCTGATGATTTGATCTGACATTGTGTCACTTCCAAGCCGTTTGACATAGAAAGTGTCTTAATATATATTCGAAAATTGATACACTGTCCGGGAAGTGATTTAGGTCAAAGCTGACCAAGACGCAGGATTAATTCAGAAAAAGGGAAGTTAAAAAGAGTACATGATTTACTAACCGTCATGGCACAATACATCGGTGTAGTGGTTTTTTTTTTATTTCAACAATCTTTTTTAAATTTGCCTCTGAAGAAGATCTTGGTAAGATAGGACCGTCAGACCCCTTTCATTAATTATTTGACTTTTTCCTACCCATTTTCTCAATTTCGTTCATTATTGTCCTTTTTTACAGCATCTACTCTCTGGTGCTTACCGTTCGGATGATGGTGATCACTGGCAGGCAGTGGCGAGTTGTGATTGTCTGCTCCTTGTGATACAATGTCATTTCTGAAAGAAAAATAATGATGAACAGAAATGGTCTCTACCCCCTTGTCACTGTAGAGCTTGAAAACGCCCTATTTATTACTCGCTGTGGGCTGTAGCGTCCAAACCAGCCAGAACACTCTCCGGTTTTATTGATCTTTTCAGTGAATAAACACAAAGTATCGCAATGTCTTACAGGTGCTGATGGGTTATACTTTAATCAAGTTAACTGTTATTGGTTCATGCTTAAAACCGGTAGGTTGATGCTGGGTTTTCCAAAAACAGCTTTTCTTAATTACAACAAAAACTGTCAGATTGGTACTTTTTATCCTTCTGTCTGGGTGCGATAATAGACATAAGTTTATTGAAGGAAAATTAATGTACCTTAAAAGCTGTGTTATGAAGCCTATTTCAAAACGTCTAGTAACGGAAAATCACAACTTAGGGTTTCAAACTTTCACAGAAAATATTAGTCTCTGCCTCAACGTAGCCTTTTACATTGACTTACATGCCATCTTGTACGCCGGTTTCCAATGGTCTCTGACGACGTCTCCATATGACAATAGCAATACCACAAGCGACACCCACAATGACAAAGGCTGCCAATACAAGTCCAATAATGATGCCTACAGGATAGGAAGCTGTAAGACAACATGAGCTTTATTATGTCAGTTTTCGTAATCAATCAGTACATTTTGGCCTATGTTATCCTTTGTTATATCTTGCGGACTCTCTGAATGGCCTCTATCAAGTGATAACTGCATCGTCAAGTTTTTGAAACAAAAAACCACAAAGCCAAGGTTTTCATATATGTAAGGTTATCTGGTAAATGATCATGTTGTAAAGGCGCACTTAATATATTAAATCTAATTCATTTTCAATGTTGCAAAACTTACCTTGCTTCCTGGAGGAGTCTGTGGTACTGGTGCTTTGAATTAATCCGTCTGTTGTTGGTAGCGATACACGAGCAAAACCTTTGAAATGTAAACCGAGATATTTGATTAGATAATGAGATTCCTCAATGAAATTCCAATCTGAAACTAAATCTTTCGCCGTACACTAAATTGCTTGACAAAGAATGGCATTGTCAGGAATGTTTTGACGGGAGTTTCATTGAAAAAAAAATGTTCAAAATGGAATAAATTGTTCCAACTGATATTATAGGGCCTGGATGAATTATAAACAGTTTAAATTAATGTGACAGAAAACTTGAAATAGAAAATTGCATTTATTTGTCGTCGACAGTAGGATCGCTCGAGAATAAATGAATTTTATTTTTTTAGTGGAAGGACTTTTTAAAGAAAATCACCAAGTTAAATTATTTGATTTCTTTAATTGCATTGGACGAAAACTCAGTCACCTGGGCAAAGCGGTTCTTCAAGTTTCTGTGACCCAGTTCCAATCGTATTTGTGACATTACAGCTGACCTCTGTGCAGTAATTGTCATCAACATTAAACCCCAGGGTTTTACCAGTAGGCGCGTTAGGCTTGGTGCCATTTAGAATGATGTAATATTCGATGTGTCTGAGTGGATTGGCATCTGCGTCACAAGTGATGATTCCGTCCCTGTATGTCAGGGATGTTACCAGCGGAGAAACTGTAAAAGAAAAATATATATTATTAGCCTAATTAAAACTTCTCAACATTTAAGCCTTCTCTGTCACGGCCAATAATAATTTTCACACTGATCAAAAAAGAGAGCCTGAAGTCTTGATCTCTGTAACATATTTCTCGAAAGCCTTTGAGCAAGATACTACTGCGATTGAAGCAACATGCCGTCTAACATTTTGGATTTGTGTATGTACATCTGGGTTGAAGGTAATGTACAACATATGCAAACATCAAAAATCTTCCAAATTATTATGAAATGCTTTCTAGACCGTAAGGGAATAATAATATCAAGCATCCTGTAAAATCATGGCACCTGGTATGATGTCATTTTCAAGAAAATGGAATTGTGTGTATTAATTTCCAATGATTGTTGGCCCACCACCGACGGAAAATGACTTTGTTTTTCGAATATCGTCCCTAATCCACCAAATTTAGTTAGTGCACATTTTGTTTGCAATCAGTTACACATACGTGAACGGATACAAACCAGATGACCTGACAACTCCCTGACTTTAGTAAATTGCTCTTTTTCGTCTGAAGTAGAGTCAGAAAAATAGACTATAAGTAGAGCGTCTGTTTCTTTTTTCCGGCATACGTGATCACAAAACTGTAGACAAGTCATCAGTGTAAACAATATTTGCTTTTTGTTCAGATCTTCAGAATCATACACTACATTTAATTGATTTTCATTCGCTCTTATTCAGATGTCTTTGTGTAGGTGATATTAGTTTACCAAACGTTAAGATGTGCTTTCATACAATTTGTATGTATATACAAATTAATCAACTTTTTCAGAACGCTATTCCAAGTAATACAGCAATTACAATATAAATATAAATAACTTACACAGAACATTGAGGGAAATGAATTCAGACTGTGTAGTTTGAGGTCCTATTGTGCGACATTCTATCCAGCCCCCATCATCACGTCGTGTTGGGATGAATGGGCTGCATATACTCTGTGTATCTGTTGCCTCACCATCAGGTGGAATCGTTTCGGTGTCAGGTGTAAGAGGATTGCCGTCGTTAAACCAGTCTATGGACACCCGTGGTATAGCTCCCAGGGCTCTGCAGGAAAGTGTGACGTCAGTATACTCTGTCACGGTCACTATTGCACCAGAGAATTTGTCTACACCATCAACAGCTATGGTGAGACTGGTGGCAGGAGCTGCATGAACAGAAACATATAAACAGTTAATATTATTTGATCTTAACATTTCTTACACCTTCTGTCGTCCAAAGCAATACGCGACCAACACCTTTGAAATGTAAACCGAGAATATGTATAGTGAGAATTGTGATCAAGTAATGAATTTCAAAAGAAAATTCCAATCTCAAACTCATATTTTGTTTTACTTATAGAAAATTTCTGACACAGAATGACAATGGCGAGGTTTTATGGAAGTAAATGTTAAAAGAAATGAATGTCTCATCAACTCAGATGTTACAGCCGGGACAAATTAATTTATGTGAAAAGAGTGCGGAAATTGAATATCACAAAAGCATACAGATGCTCAGAAGAAATAAATTATGAGTGTTTTTAATTAAAAGATACAACTAAATTGCATCATGTGAATTCTTTAATTACAATCGACGAAAACTCACCTGGGCAAAGCGGTTCTTCAAGTTTCCGTGACCCAGTTCCAATCGCATTTGTGATATTACAGCTGACCTCAGTGCAGTAATTGTCCTCGAAATTGAATGGCATGGTTTTACCCGTAGGTGAGCTAGGCTTGGTGCCATTTAGAATGATGTAATACTCAACGTGTCTGAGTGGATTGGCATCTGCGTCACAAGTGATGATTCCGTCCCTGAATTTCAGGGATGTTACCACCGGAGAAGCTGTAAAAAGAAAAATACATTGACTTATTTCAAGTACAACTTTTCAACATTGAAGTCTGCTCTGTAACGACCATAAATAATTTTCAAACTGAAAAAAAAAATACCCCCCAAAAACAGAGAGTCTGATGTTTTGATCCCTGTAACATAATTCTCGGAAGTCTTTTGAGCAAGATACTACTGCGACTGAAACGACATACTGTCTGACATTTTGGATTTGTATACTTTGGCGAAAGTGTTCTATAAACATGTAGGCTGGTTAGGAGACAGCACAATTTGGGGATATTCCCCCAGTGAGCAATGTCACTCCCCGCCCTGCAAACAGGACGCTGGGATACTCTGATGAATTCACGCTCTGATTGGTTGGATTTTACGTCACAAGTGACCTGCGCGTCATCAAGGTCATGACTCTGCAAGGTTTGAAACGGCCGTTAAGACTGATTCATTACTCTTGTATTCCAGTTTAATAGAGATTTTTTTCTCGTTGAAAAGCGTAATAATGTTGGAAACTCTGTAAAACTTATCTGTGTTGTAAATTTACAATTCCCGTCACTCGCTCAGGCTCCGTTTCGAATCACGAACGGTCGGATTGCATTATGCGACGCTCAAAATTTTGTCCACATGGTCCGCAAAGAAACAGAAATCACATCCGGTATGGATTGTGCGCAATTCTATAGGAAGTTTTCGGATAGCATTTGCGCACATAGTCTAACTGCGGTCTTGAACAGCTGCAGCCAGATGCTTTATACAAAGGTCATAGGCCACTTCCTTCACAAGATTCTGTGAAGCTCATCAGAGTATCCCAGCGTCCTGTTTGCAGGGCGGGGGGTACGAGCGAAGACTGCGCGCAGATATGTGATTGGCTGCGCGTCGCCCAGCATTGTTCTGTGTGCTGTGGAGACGTACACACGTGGTTAGGGCCCTGTCACACTTCTGCGTATCCTAATTCCTTATGAGTTGCGCATTGACTTTTTTTCATACGCAGTCGTACGCACAATACGCACCTCATATGCATCTCTATCGTTTTATGTAAGTTTTATGTACGCAGGCATACGCATGGTACGGCCCAGTACGCTGGATAGCTTTGGGCATGCACAAAACTACGCTGCGTACGCTGTTACGCAGGTCATAAGTTATAAATACGCAGCGGCGCAATGATCCCGCATCGGTCGAGCGCGGTACGAGTACGCTATGTGTTCGTGAGGGATAAGCCGTTCATACGCGGCAATACGCTGACCTCCTATATTAAACGTATACATAGCGACGTATTGCACGAATAAGTACCGCTCGTCCTGCGAGCGGGCAGCGCATTGTACTTATTCGTAACTTATGAGAAACGCACAGATGGCGAACTTGCGCACTGCATACGCAACTCATACGCATCTCATACGCAGTGGATGCGCTGAATTCGTTACTTGTTCGCTAGATGTGCGTCGCACATATGTCAAAATAATCAAAAAATTTCGACGTTCTTGATCGTACGGCTGCGTATTGAAAATTGTTGATAAGGAACTCATAAGGAATTGGGATACGCAAAAGTGTGACAGGGGCTTTAGTCAGTTAGTGTGTTAGAGGGCCCTGTCACACTTCTGCGTATCCTAATTCCTTATGAGTTGCGCATTGACATTTTTTTCATACGCAGTCGTACGCACAATACGCACCTCATATGCATCTCTATTGTTTTGTGTAGGTTTTATGTACGCAGATATATGCATGGTACAGCCCAGTACGCAGGATAGTTTTGGGCATGCACAAAACTACGCTGCGTACGCTGTTACGCAGGTCATAAGTTAAAAATACGCAGCGCATCGGTCCCGCATCGGTCGAGTGCGTTACGAGTTCGCTATGTGTTCGTGACGCACCCCGTCAGCATATGAGCCGCCTGTATTGGACGTATACATAGCGTACTTGCAGCGCAGATGCAACGCACGCTGGTTGGCGAGCGGCGGAAATGCGGCGGGAATACGCTCAGAAGTGCGTCAAGCATGCGGTCGGCATAAGTCGGGTGCGTCGGGAATACGCTCGGCATGCGCACTGCATACTGACCTATTCGCAGCCTTTAAAATAATGTTGTGCACTGCATACGCAACTCATACGCATCTCATATGCAATGGATGCGCTGAATTCATAACTTGTACGCTAGATGTGCGTCGCACATAAGTCAAAGTGATCAAAACATTTCGACGTTAATTGAGCGTACGGCTGTGTATTTAAAAAATTTTGATAAGGAACTCATAAGAAATTAGGATACGCAAAGGTGTGACAGGGGCTTCAGTCACTTTTACTTATGTGCGACGCACATCTAGCGTACAAGTAACGAATTCAGCGCATCCATTGCGTATGAGATGCGTATGAGTTCCGTATGCAGTGCACAACATTATTTTTCGGGCTGCGAGGTAGTCAGCCTTGCACACCGGGTAGTAAGCCATACAGCAAGTTTAATTAATAATATAAGGTTTCCCCAAGTCCAAGAAGTTTCATCAGGTCATTTAATTATCAATCATTCATAAGGCAATTGTCGATTCAATAAACCATATTTAAATTATTGTGGTCTGAAATCAGGTGTCCTGTTGTGTTTATTTGACTTATTGAGCAGAGTTAACCAATCAATTCCCTAGGCGGTATATTTCCACCAAAACGAACTTGCATCCCTTAGCCTTGAGGCTGCTCGTTAGTCTCCGGTCCGAGGAAGTAACTGGGTTCGGGAGCAATCCGCCACAGTACGTACATTTGGGTTGGAGGTAATGTACAACATATGCAAACAAAAACAAATCTTCCAAATTTTTATGAAATATTTTCTAGATCGTAAATGAATAATAGTCTTAGGCGTCCTGTAAAATCATGGCACCTGGTATGATGAAATTTTTAAGAAAAACGAAATTGTGTGTATCGATTTCCAATGATGGTTGGCCGACCAGCGACGGAAATGACTTTGTTTTTTAAATATTGTCCTTAATTCCCCAAATTTAGTTAGTCCACATTTTGTCTGCAATCAGTTACACATTCGTGAACGGGTACAAAGCAGATGACCTGACAACTACCTGACGACTATAAATTGCTCTTTTTCGTCTGAAGTAGAGTCAGATAACTAGACTTCAAGTAGAGCGTCTGTTTTTTTTTTCTCCGGCATACATGATCACAAAACTGTAGACAAGTCAGTGTAAACAATAATCTTTTTGTTCAGATCTTCAGAATCAAACACTACATTTAATTGATTTTCATTAGCTCTGATTCAAACGTGTGATCTTAATTGACCAAACGTTAAGATTTGCTTTTATACAACTGGTATGCATGTACAAATTAATCAACTTTTTTCAAAACGCTATTCCAGGTAAAAGAGCAAATACAATACAAATAGAAATAACTTACACAGAACATTGAGTGATATGAATTCAGACTGTGTAGTTTGATGTCCACCTGTGCGACATTCTATCCTGCCCCCATCATCACGTCGTGTTGGGATGAAGGGGCTGTATGTACTCCGTGTATCTGTTGCCTCACCGTCCGACGGGATCGTTTCGGTGTCAGGTGTAAGAGGATTGCCGCCGTTAAACCAGTCTATGGACACCCGTGGCGTTAATCCCAGTGCTGTGCAGGTAAGTGTGACGTCAGTATCCTCTTTAACAGTCACATTTGCACCGGAAGATTGATCTACACCATCAACAGCTATGGTGAGACTGGTGGCGGGAACTGCATGAAGAGGAAAAAATAAAAAGAATTTAATGTCGTTTGATCTTAACACTTAACTTTTGAAAGGTGTCAATAAAATATTATTTAAATTTGTAGAGAAATCCTTGCTTTAACTTGGTGATCAAGCAAAACTATAGTTGGGATGCCAAAATAATAAAGATTCATTGCCCCGCTTTTTTTACACAGTCGTCAGTTTTTTGTTTTTTTAGACCTACAAGATGATCTTAAAACATCCCTGGAATGCTCAGCAGGTCCATATTGCATAGTGTTAGTGTCTATGAGGCACGATTTATTTGGGGTTTTGGTCAATTTGAGGACCATTTGGAAAAAATTCGAATGAAAAGGGCAAATTCTTGCTTTTACATGAACATTAACGGCGCAAATTGTTT